ACATTAGCACACACGTCAGCAGCGTACACCCATGGGCAAATAGTAGACGCTAAATTAACCAATCAGAGCGCGCGCTTTGCTTTAGTTATGTTATAACAACATTTCTGCAAGAAGTTATGCGCTTCATATCAGGCTTTAATGCCTGTATTGCGGCTCCAAAATCACTTTAACACCATCCAGACACCAAATACATTCGAGAACAGAAATGTCATACACTATAATCTAAGAAAATTCACACGAGTATTTTCAGCCTAAAATCCGCAGAAAAATAAGAATATTTAGCCTCGGCCGGAAAAACAAAATTCAAAAATGAGTGCATTTATCGCCTTCAAATCAGCGCCACTCAATTTTCTCGATACATCTCGTCCACAGGTAACCAGTTCAAGTGGTCGACAAGGATAAAAAGCCGAGCCAAATGACAGGAAGGAAGCTGGATATCGTAGAGTGCCTAAAGGTCGGTCTTGACGCCGCAAGAGAAGCAGAAGAAAAGATAAAAGAAGGACGTATCTACGGTAAGCTTGGTATTGTATGTAATCGCCGTGGTGATTTTAGGCAAGCCATAGACTACCACGCGAAAGCACTTGCCACTGCAGAAGAAGTAGCCGACCGGGTTGGCGAGGGGAATGCCTATTGCAATCTTGGCGATGATTATCAGTGTATCGGTGATTACAAACAAGCGTTGGAGTACCATGAGAAAAATCTCAAAATTGTTGAAGAACTAGAGGACAGAAAGGGGGTGGGAGTTGCATATGGCAATCTTGGCATTTGTTATCAGAATTTCGGTGACCAACAAAAAGCCATAGATCACTACAATAAAAGTCTTAGTATTGCTATAGAAGTGAAAGACAGGGCAGGCGAGGGGAGGGCCTATGGCAATCTTGGCAATTCTTATCACAAACTCGGTGATTTTCAAAACGCCATTGAGTACCACAAGAAAGATTTTGCCATTTCAAAAGAAGTTGGCGACAAGAATGGAGAGGGATGTGCTTATGGCAATCTTGGCATCGCGTATCGTTGCCTGGGTGATTTTAACCAAGCTCTGAATTACCACAAGCTTCGCCTTAACATTGCAAAGGAAGTCGGAAATAGGGCTGGAGAAGGACGTGCATATTGCAGTATTGCCTGTGTTTATCGTAGCATGGGTAATTTTAAGGAAGCTTTAAATTATCATAAGGAAGACCTGAGAATTGCTGAAGAAGGGGAGATAGGGCTCAAGTTGGGCGTGCCTGCAGTGGTCTTGGCTGTGCTTTCCGAAGTATTGGTGATTTCAAGCGAGCCATTGAGTACCACAGCCTTCATTTGAGCATTGCCAAAAAACTGGGTGATTCAACTGCAGAGGGAACCGGCTACCTCAACCTTGGCAGTGCTCACCAAAGTCTTGGATATTTAGAAGAAGCGAAAGAATACTACAAAAAAAGTCTTAGGATAGCCACGAAAGTGCAAAACGAAGCTGAAAAAGCAGTAATATATGGAAACCTTGGTGCTGTGTATCGCCAGAGTGGTGATTTCGAAAGAGCAGAAGAGTACCAAGAGGAAGGTCTGAAAATTATTCAAAAGGTTGGATCTAGGGCCCAGGAAGGACATGCATATGGCAGTCTTGGCAGCATCTGTCATTCTCGCGGTAAATTTGAACAAGCCATACATTATAGCAAGCAACAGCTTGACATTGCAAGGGAAGTAGGTGACAGAGTTGGACAAAGAAATGCTCTAAACCTTCTTGGGAATACTTACTGTGGCCTCGATGATTTTCAAGAAGCTGGCCAATGCTACGAGCAATGTCTAAGCATTGCTGAAGACATGGACGACTGGGTTGGAAAAGGGACTGCAAGCCATTCGTTAGGTCTTTTCCATGCGTTGCAAGGATCCTTCGACGTGGCATTGCAATACTTTAGGTCAAGTGTACGAATTTTTAATAGCGGAAGAGCTCTTCTTCAAGCAAAAGATGATTGGAAAATAAGTTTGCGTGATAAGTACCAACATGCGCACAGAGCCCTGTGGCGAACACTGTTAAAGACAAGCAACATTGAGGAAACTTTGCTTGCTGCTGAGCAAGGACGGGCGCAATCTCTGATGGATCTAATGAGTTCACGCTATGACTTGTCGAGATCCGTTGGACCAGAATCTTGTGAATCTGCGGAAACAATTTCTTCCATTTTAAGCAGTGTCCCCACCCAAATGGTTTTTCTTGCTGTTATGTCGATATGATCAATTTCTGGGTTCTTTGTAAAGGAATCGACGACAAGGCGCACAGCGTCCAGTTAAGGCAGAAGAAAATTGAAAGTGGAACGGCAAATGATGGTGCCACGTTGGACGACTTAGTGAAGAAAGCACTCGAGAAAATTGGAACGGATGGCAAATGCGAGGATAGATCATTGGGTGAGCTGAGGGATGAAACCACTCTATCGAGTGATGAATCACAGTCGGCTCGCCAAGACACAGTGGGATCAAGTCAGGACAATCCCTTGTGTATCTTGTATGACAATGTTATTAATCCCATTGAAGACTTGCTTCAATGTGGCGAACTAATTATTGTCCCGGATGGACCGTTGTGCCTAGCACCCTTTGCTGCTTTTGTGGGTCGCGATTCAAAGCACGTTTGCGAATCTTTCAGAATTCGCCTTGTTCCCTCATTGACAACCTTGAAAGTGATCACCGATTGTCCAGCCGGTTTCCACAGTGAGAGTGGAGCGCTTCTCGTGGGAGATCCGTGGGTGCAAGAGATCGTCCACAAGGGAAGTAAGGAGCCGTTGTTTCGTCAGCTTCCTTGTGCCAGAGAGGAGGTAGAAATGATTGGAAAGATTCTTAACACTGCCTCTCTCACTGGAGAGCAAGCAACAAAGAAAGAAGTTTTGAGACGGTTAGGCTCTGTTGCTTTGGTACACATTGCAGCACACGGACGAATGGAAACTGGTGAAATTGTTCTCGCTCCGAATCCAGAACGGACAACCAAGATCCCTAAAGAGCAAGACTACATGTTGACTATGTCAGATGTGCTAAGTTTTCAGCTACGAGCAAAGCTGGTCGTGTTAAGCTGCTGCCACAGTGGCAAAGGAAAAGTGACCGCTGATGGTGTGGTTGGCATTGCCAGAGCTTTTTTGGGTGCTGGAGCTCGTTCCGTTCTGGTGTCTCTGTGGGCGATTTCTGACGAGGCCACTCTTGCGTTTATGACAAGTTTCTACCAACACCTCAGGGAAGGAAAAAATGTCGGCATGGCTCTCCACTTGACTGCGAAGTGTCTTAGAGAGTCGGAGAACTATGGGAAGGTAACGCACTGGGCTCCGTTTGTGCTCTTTGGTGATGACGTTACACTGGAATTGGCAACTGAAAAAGAAGAACAATGCAAGTAGACTTTCCCATAGAGAAACTCACTAGGGACGCAAAAATAAGCACAACGGCCCAAATATAGGCTAAGGACGTTCACATGCGTAAAATAACCGGGATCAATGGGACTACGCAGCCGCAATACCTCCCACAGAGATCAGATGACGACCACCTCAACTGGTTCAAGAGGACGGACGATAAGGGAACATTGTGTCTGTGCTTAGGCTTATCGCACGCCACTTCCCAATAGTAAAATAAGTCCAAGCACAAGAGCAGGCGCAAGAACTAGGATATTCTTACTGGGAATAAATTCTTATTAGGCTGTGAAGACGCATATATTGTGCTATAGTTACAACTGAATGAGTTATCTTATTTGCATCTTCTACAGTACGCGGGAAAGACCTGGTAATGAAGTTTCATTCTGGACCCTATGAAATTGACGATGAAAATTCTTCGATCTAAGATGACTGAAGGCGTGTTTTGTAATAGACTCGCTGCTAACGGCTTACCGCTATCCAAGGCTCTGAAAATATTCCTTTTCATTTTTGTTTCATTTTTTTCCCATGAAGGGTCGTTCAAGGTCACGTTTTGTTTGGAAAACTTTTCAGGTGTTTCAAATGCACCGTTCTCTGTACAACTGACGACATTGGACAAGCACGTCTGTCAGCTGTGAGTTCCATTAGACTACAAGTATTATTCTTTACATTATATTTAAATATTTTACCCACGTCAACTGCGAAAAGGAATTTAGAAATCTGCATGTAAAGGATCAAATCGTTTAATTTAGCGCCCGTCAAAACACAGAGCGGTAAACGAAACAAATTGAAGAGTTATAAAAAGGTGGCTTAGCGATGTATGTCAGTTTTTGATATGGTGGTTCATTAGGATATATATATTCAACAATTATCTTGCGAATTTGAGTGGAATAACGCCTTACACGTAATGCCTTTATAATGCTTGTACCGTTTATTATTGCAAAATATCGAAAATATATTACGCCGCTAGTAGTAGGACTGGAATTATTCCCCGATATCTTAGCGATATTCATTTTGTGTAAAGCTTGGTGATATGCGGCTGTATATACATTGCTTTTGTTGTCTTTTTAATTTGGATTGACATAGACCATAATATGAGAGTACATCTTTTAACATGAATACTAAAGAATTCCTGTTTGACTACAACACATCTTTGTTTGTTGACGTTGTAAATACTGATGAGATACAAGTAGACAGTATCTTCCTGAAAACGATGAACTTTCTTAGACCTTTTCAGGGTTGACTTTGCTCATTTGCATTACAATAAAATCTAGCATGTATGTGAGGCAATTTCGGGCTATTTTATAGTTTTAGCCCGAAATTGCCTCGCATCCACGTTGGATTACATTGCAATGCAAATGAGAAAAATTAACCGTGAAAAGGGCTATGCAAGTTGGATTAAGGGTGCATGCGCTTGTTACTGCCTGCACTCATCCACAATTTTGTTAGACTTGCCACAAGTCGACCTTTGTTAATCCTTCGCTTACTCATCTCCCTCGAGAGAAGCGACAGGGCAATCGCGAGCGTGAGTGACGTAAGTCGCGAAACTAACAGGCCATGGAAGAATTATCGGAAAGGACTTTTAGAAAGTCTACAATTTTATTTGCATGCATGCTTATGCCTCCTTGAGGGTGCCATGCTGAGGCAAGGAGCATTTATAAAATAAGTTGATTTTTTTTTCTCATTTTGATTGGTTCTTACTTGTAATCTATATATAGACCCTATTCAGACCCTATTTGTAAGTATTGAAATAAGCACAACTAACTTCGTTTTTGAGTTGATAAATCAAAAGAATTTTTACTCTCAAACGAGGTTAGTTGGGCTGATTTAAATGCATACATACGAAAGAATTTTAAATTGGTAGCCATTTATGAAAAGGGTCTATTGGAGGACAGACAAATGGATGACGTAAGTATCCTTTTTCTGTGTATTTGTCTATTATACAAAACAAGTAGATTCCATGTTGCCGTACATGTGACGTCAAAATAAGTGGCAGATCCAGACCTTGAGCTAAGGTGGGGGGNTTTTTTTAACAAAACTAAGGGGGGGCCCGGGTCCCCCGGGCCCCTCTCCTAGATCCGCCACTGAAAATCTGGTACGAACATCGATATCACTGACACACTAGCTCGCCTAAAGGCTTGTGTGCCACGAGGAATCTATTTGTTAAACTGACTTGCTTGACGAGCGTACGGATAAAAATGAGGATTAACCTGAATGCTGGTCGTCTCTTCGATCGAGTGACTTGCATAATCCTCTGCGTATAGTCTTTTTGGGAGTGTTTGACTTGAAGAGACGGCTGAATTTCAGGCTAAATGATGATCGAGGGTTTCATTTGTATCCATACAAATTACCTGCCTAAGCTTTGAAAATGAACTTTTCAAATGGCTAACGCTGGGCGACTTCTTCTCTAATGCCCGCGTCACTCATTTTTGGATTGCAGGTTTCTTCAGTAGACATACTCAATTCGTGTAGCTCTTGTTCCACATCTGAAATCAAATAAAATTACCGGATGAGGTTTTTAACGCGTCATAGGCATCTATACAGCCAACAGCCGTGAGTGCTAATTTCGATTGTCTGTAAGGTTATCCCAGTCAAGTTTACGAAAGTTACTAGGTAACTTTGACTAAGAGATGTTTTGCTATTCGTTGATTCTCTACTTGCACAAATCCCATAATACACCTCTCCCCCAAAATTTGCATAGGCATTGTTTTAAATTTCTCTTGAGAGACCTTCATGTCCCAGGAGAACGAACGATCTATCCAAGGAATGAAATGAACCTTTCCTAACAAGCCATGAAACTTCCTCACCAAACTTTCTCAACAAAACGTTTTCGCTTACCACTTATTTTGCAATTATGTCCTTTGAGCCTCGCAGTACGCAAACAGCGATATCCCCGGTATGTAAAAGCAGCTAGACTGGTTGCGTTATTCGTACACGGGCTGCTGAAGCAAGCGCTCTGTAACAGAAAAAGACATTGACAATGAGTAACGCAAATTGTCCTTGCTAGATTTCACTGATTTTTTTCAAAATGCGATGTGTCTTCCATCAGCAGGCATTGTGGAGCACTGTGCGCTAGAAGAACAAATGCGGTGAGGCCTCACTGGGCTCGCCGGTGTTTATCTTCGCTGGAACAATATCCTTCTAAGCAACCCCCTCACAAGCTAAGTAGGTGATGTGCTTGTCTTATACTATACGAATACTCCTCATCTTAGCTCCATGATATTTGTGGTTTGAATCTTCCTCCAAGTCAGTCTCATGTCCTTCGTGAGTACAATTGTTGAGCTCACATTCGCAGTTTCCATTTTCACCTCCCGCAGTTTTGAAATTGTAACTTACACAGTTGGGTCCCATGTAACAGAGCGTCATGCAAACATTTTCCACGATGACGTCACTGACGCTTATCACGTGATTTTTGAGACGCTTTTCCTTTGAATGCTTTAGCGGGGCCAAACAACAAATGGCGACATTCTTCTGAAAGTAAAAAATGTGATCAGGTTGCTTGATAACCACAATATGCGACAGATGCACATTCGGAAAGTCATGGGTTCGGCTCCCTTCCAATACTAATAATTTTTCTTCGCAGTAATTTCGCTTTGTAGAACACAGTTTATCTCCTGGTGCATGGCTTCATGGCGTTCTTGCATGTACGTATCGCTCTCTTTATCAAGATTTGCCTTCCTAAACTTGTTAATCGTGAGAATTTCTAGCCCATGAAGTTGGCAGAACATATTCGAAGGAATGTTCACAAAGGAACTGACATGATTTAAAACTGACCTTGATCGTCACAGCAGCTGGCGGCTGGTAGAAAGAAAACAACAAGAAGAACGCAATGAGAGTGGTATTCAGTGGGAACTGGCAAATGAGTTGTTCTGCTTGTGGGGAGAATCGCGAAGAACCTGGTAACGTTTATGAAGCGTCTCTTTAACAATAGTATCTATGACTGACAATAAACAATATTGTGTAATTGAACTATACCGAAGAAGCCCGGGCCAATAAAATCTTCTTCCTTGCCCATCTGTGTTCATCCTTAAAGTGATGGGTATTTAAGTACAGATACTGTTAATTAACATTTGGCTTACAAGAATGGCGCAAATATTAAACGTAGCCGAGCCTTAAATGCGCTCCTGGTTGTCTCTGTTTTCAAGTTAGATGATATCGGGTAGAAATAGACTTTTTTTTCCCAACCACAGCAATGCGAAACTGGGGAAAGCAAGAGCACTGAATAGTTCAGTCTTTCTATTTCTGCTGAAAAGGTGGACTGCGTTCCAAACGGCAAGAGGCGATAACGGTATGACAGTGTTTGCGGTTCCGGAAGAACTTACCATATTGACGCATGAAACAGAAAATACGAATCTTTCGGAAAGTATGTTGTAAATTCTGTTGATATGCGGAAGAAAACTAATGCTTTTGCTTGAAACTAGTTAAGGTTGACGAGGAGCAAATGTAAGCACGTATTTCTGCAAATAAATATTGCGCGAGAAAACGAAACGTCTCCGTTTTCTGATTAATTAAGTTTTTCGTATTTCCCGCATTAAATAAACAATAGCCTCCATTTTGCGCTAAAATATGCTAGGATATTTGTACGCGGACATTATCTGTTCCGAGAAGCGAACAGTTTTCCGAGAGCGTAGCTCGAGGAAAACTGTCAGCTTCGAGGAACAGATAATGTCCAAGGACAAATATTCGAGCATATTTTTGCGCTAAATGGAGGCTATTGTGTTTATTATCCTTCAAATCTTTTTCGCAACACGCGCAGTTTTGAAAATTGGGGAATATTCTCGGATATTCCCCAGTTTTCGCTGAGGAATATTCGGTCACGTGACTTATTTAGACCAATCGCGAGCGAGAATATCTGATGGATTATAATTAAACATATACTGGCGATTCGCCCACTGCATATTGTTATAGATTTTGTAAAATTTTCGAAAACTCCGATCTCTGTTGACAAACACATTCTTATATGCGACCACTGACAGAGAGACAGAGAGTGACATTTGTTTTACTCTTGTGAAAACATGGTAATTGTCTTGCACACACATGCAGTCACCTTAAATACCTGTAATATCGTGAAAAGAAGCCATGAGCTTAAATCGTTTTGAGGGACTTTTACGGCCTTTTCTTTGGGGGGTATATGATAGATTTTGCCCCCCTCCCGCAATTCAGTTTTTAAGGCCAGGAAACATTTGGGAAAGTCGTGCTCGGTACTTTAAGGGGAACTGCATATTTCCGAGGTCAGGGTCAGGGGACTGGCTTTCTGATGGTCGTGTTTCGCTTGTTTATATTTCGCTGCCTGATTAGCAAAACCAAAAAACAACAACAACAACAACAACAACTAAAACAACAAACAGTCGACCAAAAACATAACAAGGCAAAAAAAAAAAAAAAAAAAAA